ATATATACATATGTTGTATAAAGGTTTTGCCCTGTGATTTTTGTCCATTCCCTTTCTCTCGCCATCTCTCTCTTTTCACCCTCCTTTTTCTCCCTTTCTTGTGTTTTCATAGGGAAAAGTTTCACACTGACCATCACAGTATTCACCAACCCTCCACAGGTGGCCACATACCAAAGAGCCATTAAAATCACAGTGGATGGTCCCAGAGAGCCGCGGCGTGAGTACTACTGACATACAAATGTTCACATTTTCCTCCTAGGCAAACGCTAACCTGGTGTTAAATACAGTTCGCTTGTAGATCAAATCAAATTACAAAAATACATATGCTTGTGGTCAGAAGTTTACGTACAGTCATGATGGGCATGAATGTCATGGTAATTTGGGGTTTTTAGTGAGGTTTAAATTGCTCTTTTTTCAAAGTGGAATGATTGTATATGTATATATTTATTTTCATTTCATTTTCATTTTTCATTTTATTTATAAAGCATCAGATCACCACAGCTGCCTCAAGGTGACTAAAAATGAGGAATTGGGTGAACAACTTTGAACTCATTTTGGATTTTCTAGGATCTACACAGGCTGGTTAAATTGTTTCCTTTCCTGGCATGGATCCGGTTAAATGTTGTCCTTTGGGAAGCTTTGGGAAGGGCATTGCAGAATCTTTATGTTAGCCTGCTTTATCCATTACAAAACCAGTTTAATGTATCTTTGTTATCTTTGAGATTATTATCCTGTTAAATATATTGTTGTTTAAAAGTTTTAACCATCTCGCTGTTGACTGAAGTTAAAGAATTTAGAGGTCATCCTCCTCCTTCATCACTAGGAGAATAACAGCCCCAGAGCTTAACACTACCATCTCCATGCTTGACAGTTGGTACAGTGTTATTAGGCCTGAATGTTTCAGACTTACACCTAGAAAAATTACCTCTGGACACCTTGACCAAATAGCTCAGCTTTTCTCTTGTATATCTCTTTCTTCTTCTTTTCTTCTTCTCTTGTAAATATTTAGTTTTAGCCATGCTTGAAGGTCTTGATTTTGGAATAGGGGTTGACAGTCGATGGTGACACTAGTGTTCATAGTCCATGCCAGGATTGATCCTTGATCAATACTGCATTTTTGTTTATAAATGGTTCCAAAAGACCTTCGCAATTTGTGTTAATCTATAGTTCTCCTTAGATCTTCACTGAGTTTGTCGTTCCCCAGTTCCATAGTTCTGAGTATTGGTCAATCCAACAAGCGCTGTCGAGCAAACTCTTTTTATGCCACACAAGTTCTAATTGCTAACATGAAGTTAATAGAGCTTGGCCTTTAAAACATGAACCAGGGCTCTAGAGTGCGACCAATTTGGTCACAAATGCGACCAAATTTTTCGATGGTGCGACTAAAAAAAATCGTAGGTCACACTGGTGCGACCAAATGTTCGGGTAACAAGAAAAAATCTCTGCAACTCTGAAAGTCTCCGTGTGGTCAACAACAGACACACATTATGCCCCTATCGTGGACTAAACCAATTAGAGATAGTCAGGGGCGGGACCACTCTGATTGGCCGTGGTCTAGTTGAAAGTGCAGGTGGATAGAGAGAGATGAGTAGCTTGAATGAAGCGATATCGATTCATTAAATCCACTTTTAAATATAACCGTGTTTTGCCAGAAACGCCAGATTCCCAGATTAAAGTTCACAAAACAATTTCAACAACCATCAATCAATCAATCAATCAATCAATCAATCAATCAATCAATCAATCAATCAATCAATCAATCTTTATTTATAAAGCACTTTTCATACAGAGAAAATGTAGCACAAACAGCAAAAGTCAGAGGGAATTCATGACGACATTGATCAAATGTGAAGCGTAGTTTGCTGCTTCTTTTGCTGCTGGCTCGGTGAATTTTGGTTGGAGAGACAAAACCTGCAGCTCAGAATCAGCGCAAAAAGACTAAACACAGCGCGGACCCGACGCATCAGATCAGCGAGCTGTCGGCTTTCAGCCCCGATGGCGTGTCCGTGTCCAACGAGGGGCACATTACACCGGTTTTAGAATCGCTGCACTGGCTCCCCGTGTGTTTCAGGATCGATTTTAAAGTTCTTTTATTGGTTTTTAAATGTCTTAATGGTCTTGGGCCTTCTTATCTCTCAGATCTGCTTTTACCATACGAACCCTCGCGGACCCTGAGGTCCTCTGGTCTGGCCTTTTGATTGTCCCTAAAGTCAGGACACATACTCACGGAGAGGCAGCTTTTCAGTGGTATGGTCCTCGTCTGTGGAACAGCCTGCCGGAGGAGCTCAGGGCCGCAGAGAACGTACATGTTTTTAAGAACAGGCTCAAGACCCACCTTTTTAATTTAGCTTTTACTTAGCGTTTATTTATTTTATGCTTATTTATTCTATCCTGTTATTCTATTATTAATTTAGGATTTACCTAATATTTGCTTGATTTTATTCTTATTCATTTTTTAATCTTCTTATTCTATTTATATTTATATTGTATCCTGTTCTTATTTATTTTATCATTTTACCCTATATATATCGTATTGCATCATATCTCCAGTGTTTCCTCGGAGGGCGCTCTCTGCACCGGGGCTGTGATTGACCGTGGCTGCTGGGTCTCTGGGGTCCTCTCAGCCTGGCTGGGGGGCTCCTTTGCCTCCCTCCTGCTGTGTGCCCAGCCTGGAGGCTGCGGTCTGTGACCGGCTCCCGGTGCAGACGGCTCCCTGTTATAGTGTTTCCTCACTTGGCTCATGCGAGCCAGCCCAATTTTTACTCTTTAAGTGTGCGCGTGTGTGTATGTGTGTGTGGGTGGGGGTGGGGGGATATATGTGTATTGAGAGTGTGGGGAGTGAGTTGGAGGGTGGGGTGGGCTGCTTTTAACTATGTAAAGCACTTACTCTT